GTCTGTTCGCTGTTTGTCACTTGTCCTGTGTCTGTTCTGCTGTTTGTTGTTTCTCCAGTGTCTTCTTGCTGTTTGTCATTTGTCCCGTGTCTGTTTGTCTTGTGTTTATCTGTCCGAGTGTTGGGCACGGGCCCTTTTCTTGTTCTCATAACTGCTCTTCTTTCATCAGGACTCCTTCTCTCCACCAACATCATGGGTCAAGGAAGCGCTACAGAGATCTCCACCTGGACCCCTTTAACTTGTTTTCTTAACAATTTTCAGGGCTTTGTCTGTTGGTTTGTTTTTGTTTGTTCCCTATGTGTTCTGTGTTAATTTCTACCTCAGTTTGTTTCTAATAGAAAAAAATGGTTAAAACTGTTTATACTGTGCTCACTACAGCTTGCATTAAAATGTAAAGTGCTGCCAACAGAACCAAAAGAATTGTCAAAAGTAAAAGCTAAAGGTAAAAAGAAAAAGGGCATTCTAGAGATTGTCTTCATTTAGGAACTGGGCCAGGTGGCCAACTGGGTAAATCATGTCAGTTCCTATAGAGGACAGATTAAAACTAAAGTGTTTTATAAAATTATTATTCCTAAATTGTATAACAAAAAGCATAATTTTGTCTAGAAAATTTGGCTTTTGTCTCTCAGTATTTGCAAGCATGAATAACTCCCAACTATTAAAAAATGGTCTAAAATTTTTTAATGTCAGGTTAAAAGTTGGTGGCCGCTATCCAAGAAACCAGAAAAGAACAGTTTAAAATGGGACCTCAACCTGGGGGACTCTCCCAAGGAGACCAATGAAGCTGTGTCTTTGGGAAGTTCCTCCAGGGAGAAATAAGCCCCCTTCATTGGTCTATGTTCCCTCAACTCTTTTCAGCTTTCATGAACAGGACCACCTCAGGAAAAAGGTCAGAAAACTTTTAAAATTTTATATTTGTTAAACTCATAATTTTGATCCAATATGCCTAGGTTAATATGTTTTTCTGATTACACTCTGCTTTATTCTAAGGCCAACTTACAAGGGCTAACTCTCAATCTAATAGGTTTTTTAAAAAATAAGCTACAAAGTTTTTGTTTGTCTGTTTGCTTTGTGTGGGTGCACCAGTGTACTGTCTGTCTGAATGTATTGCCATGTCTACATATATTTGGTACAAAAAATTGACATATAAGCTCATAAATTAAAATTTTTTTTCTTTTTTTTTTTAAAGAGAGAGTGAGAGAGGAGAGAGAGTGAGAGAGAGAGAGAGAATTTTTAATATTTATTTTTTAGTTCTCGGCGGACACAACATCTTTGTTGGTATGTGGTGCTGAGGATCAAACCTGGGCCGCACGCATGCGGGCGAGCGCGCTACCGCTTGAGCCACATCCCCAGCCCTAAAATTTTTTAAAAAATGTATCCAAATACTTTTGGTTAATATGATTTAAAAGATTCAATTCAAATTGGGAAAATAGATAAAAGTACAAATGTCTTTAAAGTTACTAATGCACAGTTTTGTTTCTAGATGGTTAAATAGCTGTTAAAATGATAATGTCTATAAAGTGTCTGATATCCATTCTCTAGGATTTTTATTCAACAACAACAAAAGATTACTAATACTATTAAATGCACTTGTCTGATACCTTGTTTTTTTAAAAAAAGGATACATAAATTACATCTAAACCTACATGAAATTAATCATGGATGTGTTTGTTAGAGACATCTAATTGGTTTACAAAGTTAAAAATGCTGACTGTTAAATATAATACCAAGTACTCTTAACTCCTTAAATTCCAGAAGGTAAAATATTTAAACAATGTTGGTGTTTTTATAAATTGGTAAACTAAAAAGAAAGTTTAAAATTATTTTGTGTTATTATAAAAACAAGGTTACTCTAAATTACAAAGTCCCAACAGGTATAATTCTACATACAAGGAATCAAGAGGTTTCAACTGTATTTCAATTACAGTACTGTAAATAACAAATATTTCATCTTATTAAAATGGATTAATTTATCTAAATTCATAAATTTCAAAGTACAAAAAAGGATCAATGGATTAAAAAATTATTAAAAAGTTCTAAATATAAAAATATATTTTAAAAAATGTTTCCAGATAAAAAGTCTTTATGTGATAAAGTATAATTATAATACATCTAAGTAAAGAACAAAAGAGTCTAATTAAGTAATATAAATGTCTATACATAAAAGACAAATATTAAAAGTTTAATATGTAACTAAGTTGGTTATATATGTAATACAAATAGTTAAAACTATTCAAGGTTGTTCCCTAAGGACAAATAATAATGTACTGATATATTTATATGTTAAAATGACAAAAACTTCTAAAAATATTAATTACATTATGTCTGTTAAGTTTTATCCCCTAGAAGAAGTAATCTTGGAGAAATTAAGATTTGTACATCTGTGGCTATACAGCAACTTTTATTTTAAAGTATTGTCCTACATTACAAAGTATAGATTTTTCCTTTAAAAACTAACCTTGGTTAATATAAAAACATCAATAAAAGTGTGGAACATTACTCTTCTTTACAGATTAAATGTGTTTATATCTTTCAGGTATACAAGTCTTTAAGGTAAAAGATTTAAAAAAAAACATTTTATCAAGCTGGTATTCTCCAAACTAAAATTGTCTGTAATGGTAATTTAAACTTATAAAGATAATAGATTTTATTGGAAATTTATTTATATTATTTGATGTCTTGTAACCAAATATTATGTTACATTTTACACTTAATTTAGAAAGTAATAAGAGCCTAATCTATTTAAAGGTTAAATATTATAAAACATTTTACCACTTTTCCACATAAAAAAAAATGTTAAGGGCTCCCAGCCTTTCCTTACTTCATGTTTCAGATGTATGTCTTATTGTGCTACTAGCGTTCATACAGAGTCAGAAAATAATATATGTAAACTTTATAAAATTATATCTAAAAGGAGAGACAAACATCAACTTTAAAACTAAAACACTTTTCCTAAGATTGTGAAGAGCCCTGCCTTACCTGAGATAAGGCTCTGCCTCCCACCTTACAGCATGTCAAAATAACTTCAAGTAGGCCAGATTTCAGTTAATTTAAAGTTATATTCAAAAATTAACTTTATTAAAAAGATAACTGTAATCTCAAATAAAAATATAATGTATAATTCAGTCAAGGTTCACAATTATATACAAGCTAAATATGTTTTTACTATTGTTAATTTCACTTTGTATTTTCATTATAACAAAAAAGTGACCACTACATTTAGAGCAACCAAAAGACCTTTACTGTGACAGTGTCTGATTAACAGAAGAGAGAGTGGGCTGGAGATGTGGCTCAAGCGGTAGCGCGCTCGCCTGGCATGCGTGCGGCCCGGGTTCGATCCTCAGCACCACATACCAACAAAGATGTTGTGTCGGCCGAGAACTAAAAAATACATATTAAAAATTCTCTCTCTCTCTCTCTCTCTCTCTCTCTCTCTCTCTCTCTCTCTAAAAAAAAACAAAAACAAAAACTTGTTTAAAAAAAACAGAAGAGAGAGAGAGAGAGAGAGAGAGGAAAGTGCAAAAGAGAGAGAGAAAGAGAAGGAAAAAGAGAGAGAAAAAAGTGAGAGGGAGAATGAGAGACAGGGAAAGTGAGAGAAAAAGGAGAAAGCAAGAGAGGAGGACCTGGCAAGAGAGAGTTTTTGTAACTAAAAATCTAATGGGCTTTCAGGGTCTGCAAGCTGCCTTGTTGGTATACAGTGATGCTAAGGTGTCATCTTCTGCCTTCAGGCAGATCTTCAGCATTATGTAAATTAATAAATAAAATCAGGATATTATGCTATGTAAAAATTAACTGTAAAGTTATAAAGATTAAAGTTAAAGCCCAGCATACTTTAAAACTGGTAAAACTGACTTGCTGGATGTCTAAGGCCAAATTTAAATATTAAGGTTAAAATAAAGGGGCCAAAAAACCAATATTTGGCTTTTGCCCTCTAAGTCAGCCTGAACCCAGGACAGGGGGAAAAGCTTTGCAACTCTGGGCCACATAACCTCCCAATAAGGGAGATTAATAAGACCACTGGAGAACAAAAAACCAATGAGTGTACATGCTGCAAAAGGGGAGGGTCATTACAAAGGGGTGACATGCCTGATGCTTCCAAGGGAAGCCATATGGTCATCAAGACCTTGACCCATCCTAATGCAGATGACGCTAACAGAGCTAAAATGCTGCTCACAAGTTCCCCAAGAATGTCCTCCAAGGAAACTCAGCTGACTCTTACCAATAGATAGGAACAAGGTCAGTTTGAACAGCTTGGTCTTAAACATCTAGCAAAAACCAAAGCACAACCATTCATGGACATTTAAAAAGAAACAACAGTTATTTTATTGTAACTTAAAATGTACACTAGTGTTAGCATCCCCAAAAATAAGTAAGACTGGAGACAACAGAAGAAAAATTCTTAGGCAAAAATGCCTGATAACTATCAATAAACATTGCCAGAAGTTTTTATTCAGTTTAAGGCCTACAGATCTTCCTAAACTCCTACACAGGTAAATGTAATCAGTGTTTATTTATATAATTATCTAGCCCTAAATTGCAAAAGAATCTTTACTGAACACAGAGGTCATGCCAAAAAGGTATTTGTACAAAAATCAGATGACATTAACTAATTTAACTAAATGTTGTGTCTACATTCCTGATAATTCTGACAATGTTAAAGATTTATGTCCCCTAAAAAAGTGCCTTATTACACTTTGTTAGGCCTTGTTATGGGGACAATTTCTCAGGTCTTTCTTCTACCTCCTGGTAAACAATTATTAATTTCTGTCATTTTCATGATATTCATGTTCAGGTTCCAGATGCTACAACTGCTATTTTGTATTAATCGTACTTCAGTACTCATGTCTTTTTGTTTCTCTCATAGAAGTGCCTACCCCAGGTGAATTTACATCCTGTTCCTCCTGAACCAGATTTTTACTATGGACTCCTTGACCCACTCAGTTTCTAAAAAGGGACTCCAAATTGCTTGCCCACTGTACATCGCCCCCTTTAAACTGGAAGTAGCAAGAACGGTCATCGCCCTTTTCCCTTATGGCAGTTGGAGGTCCCTAATATTAGAGGAAAAATTATGGTCAATATATATGTTCACCAATATGTCTAGCTCAGGAAGATGTACCTGGGATACTACTCCCAAGATTACCCTGGGTGATCTCTCATAAAGAGACACTTGCTTCCACAACCCAACTTATAAGTGGGACAACTCCCTGTTAACCAAAAATTATGCTTCCCGGGTCCCACTTCGAACTCCACCTGTATCTCCAAACCATCAATAACTCTGAACTATGTAACCTACTATTTTGATGGAGTAAAAAGAAAAAAAACACCTGAACTTATTAAAAGGCCAGGGTCAACTGATTTATCAACATAGACTGGCTGCCCCCATTTTAGTTCCCCTCCTGGCTGGTTTGGGAAGTCCCTGATCTATCAAATAGATATAGATTTAGGAAAACTAAAAAGGTCAATCTTCAACCTAAAGGTTTCACTAGACTCTCTGACAGAAATAGTCTTATAAAACAGATGAGGTCTAGATGGTCTCCTTCTGAAACTAAATGGACTTTGTATGGATCCAGGAGAAACTTGTTTCTATGCAAACCATTCTGGGATAATAAAAAACAGTTTGGCGCTTGTGAGAAATAGGTTAAAGAAAAGAGATGAAGCACTAGAAACTTCAGGCATTTGGTTCCAAAACCTATTCTCATGGTCCCCTTGTCCACCATCATTTCAGCCATAGTTGGGCCCCTAGTTCTTCTCTTGATTGGGATTACTGTAGGACCCTGCCTCTTAAAAACCCTCCTAAACCATATACACAAAAATGTAGGTGAGATCAGACTTATGGTCTTGCGAGCCCAGTCTAGTCCCTTAGACACAAAAGGATAGGGAAAAAAAACTGAGGCCTAATGATGCACACAAGATTGACATCAAACCTACTAAAACCATTGGGGAATGTGATAGTAGGAGCAAATGTAACTCCATTTTGTTTTATGACTTCATCCTGTAAAACAACCATGCCAAGTAGAAGAGTCATGACTGGGGCAAAATTTTCTTTTCCTTTTGCTGTAGAAACCTTTAAGAACACAAAACTACCTAATGGGGTATTATTTCTGTAACTAGGGTAACAGGGCTCTGTTTCTGTAACTGGAGTGACTGGGCTAACTGTGATTGGTTAGGCTTCCCTCCGCTTGACTGCACTGTCTCACTTCTGTAACCTGACTTGCTTGCATTGGCTAGACCCCCCGAACATCCCTTTTGCAGTTTTCAGGCTTATAAGGAGTGCCCTTGCAATTGTTCTGGGATGATCAGGGGAAGAGCTTTATGTTCTGGTCAGCCGCCACCGGTGTGCTTCAATAAAGGCTTGATTTGATTATACATGAGTAGTCTGGAAGTCAGTTTATGAAATCTTGGGATGAAGCGTTTTTATAATAAAATGACTAGTTTGTTATGGGAAAGTCCCATTTTGATCACTGATCTAGTATAAGGTTTTAAGTCTCCATAAATAGTATGATTAATCAGTCTAGGTCTCCCAATTGCTGTCTTTTCCTCAAATGATACTCTGAGACAGCTAGCATATTTATCGTGGGACCAACACAAATGTAATTGGGCACTGTAGCCAGAATACTTAAATCTAGTCACATGATTAGGAGTAATATGAATATCTGAAAATCCTCCTATCATGAATGAGTCATTAGTAAACATTGGAATGGATTCTCCAGTCCACACAGCTGGGTGTAGCAGGGGGGATCTGGGAAATATGTCTGGTAAGTGTCTGCTCGACTCCCTTTTACCTGACATCCCAGCAGGGCAATCACTCTAGCTACCATCATCAATGGGGTCTTATTCCTTCCTAGGACTCGAATTATTCGCTAAGCATGTGTTGTCAGCTTTTTCATGTCTTCCCATGAGATCAGCTTCTCAGCTGAGTATTGCTGAGTCATCTTCATTCTTCTTTGATATCACTTCCTTTTGAGTGGAGGCTTCTCCAGGTTGATTTTCAATCACTTGATTCTTGGCTCTATCTCCTCAATGTCTGATTGTGCATTCAGGCACCCAGATAGGATGGAAAGCACCTTATGGAAAAATACAAGCATGACCTCTGCCCCACATAATCACTGGATCTGGGCCTTTCCATTGACCAATCTATAAGTCTTTCCACAAAACTCTGCCTAAAGGGCCTGTTGCTGTTTAAGACATATGTCTCTCAGCTGCAATGTGACTTTCTGCATCATAATTTTAAAAATTTAAAACAAACAAGGGATGGTTGAGACTATTTTGGGGAGTCATAAACCTATTGCCCCCTTTTAATTTTTGTAATTGTAGCTTAATAGATAAATGAGCTCTTTACACAATGGCTTGACCTTGGGGGTTATAAGAAATTTCTGTTTTATGGTCAATGTGAAACTCTTAGCAAAATTGTTGAAAAGAAGAGCTTACATAAGCTGGTACATTATCTGTTTTAATCCGTAAAGGGCATCCTAACACAGCAAAGGCTGCTAGGCAATGAGAAATTACATGTTAAGTATTTTCCTTTGTATGTGCTGTGGCAAAAATAAATCTGGAATGTGTATCAACTATTACTTGTACATAACATTGCTTACCAAATTGAGGAATATGAGTTACATCCATTTTCCATATTTGATTTGGTTTTAATCCATGGGGATTTACCCCTGATGGCAGAGATGGAGTGTGAATAACACACTTAGGGCAGTGACTATTAATTTGACGAGCTTGTTCTCTGGTTATATTAAATTTTTTACGTAAGCTAGAAGCATTTTGTTGATGTAAAGAATGTGAAGCTTGTGCACAATCATATGAAGACATCTATTGACAAACAGCTACCAATTTATCAATTTTGTCATTACCTGAAGTTAAAGGTCCTGGAAGATTAGTGTGAGCTCGTGTGTCCTATGAAACATAGGCATTTTCGCATTTGCACCACCTTTTGTAGATTATGAAATAATTTAAATAGCTCTTGTGATGAGGTATATCCAATAACTGAAGTTTCAATATTTTTGGTAACTCTGCATATAAGCTGTCAGAATAAATATTAATAGGCTCATTTGTAAAGTAATTTAAGGCACAAATGAGAGCTTGTAGGTCTGCTCTTTGGGCAGAAGCATATGAGGTTTGTATAACCTCGGTGTGAATATGGTTATAAAAACCTGCTTCACCTGAGCTTGAACCATCAGTGAACACTGTTAGGGCTCCATCTATGGGCTGGGCATGTACAATCTTTGGAAAAATAAGCAGTGTTATTGATGCAAATTGAATAATTTTATCACGAGGGTAATGACTTTCTATGTGACCAGAAAAATCAGCAAAATCTATTTGCCATAAACTAGAAGCTTGAAAAAGCCAATTATTTTGTTGAACAGAAAATGAAATAATTATAATATCAGGTTCAGATCCAATTAATTGTAAAACTCTCATTCTATCTTTAATTATTAATTGAGCAATAGAGTATGGGAAAAGGAATTAATGTCTTTTGGGGAGAGTGAGCTAAATGAATCCACTCAATAACTCCCAATCTTTGCCATATGGCTCCTGTAGGGGCATGAGCAGTTGGAAATATTGATAAATATACCAGCTCTTGGGGATTAATTCTGGTAAGCTGTGCATTTTTAATTGCAATTTCAAAGTTTTTTTTTTTTTTTTTTTTAAAGCTGTTCTAGCCTCTATTGTCAGTAGACGAGGAGAGGTTGGAGAAGGATCTCCTTGTAGTATCTGGAATAAAGGACTTAAATATCAGAAGTAGTTAGTTTTAAGGATGGCCTCAGCCAATTTATATCTCCTAATAGTTTTTGAAAATCATTAAGGGTACATAACTCCTAAACCTTTATCTGTAGATTTTGAGGACGGATTGTACATCCTTGAATTATCTGACCTAAATATTGAAAGGGAGGTATCTTTTGTATCTTTTGAGGAGCAATGCACAAACCCATTGCTGTAAGTGAAGTCTCTAACTGAGTAAAAATTTCTGAAAGTACTTCTGGATTACCATGAGCCAATAATATAGCATCCATGAAATGAATAATATATGCATCAGGAAAGTTATTTTTTATAGGAGTTATCGCTTGACCCACAAATTTTTGACATAAAGTTGGACTATTATGCATCCCTTGAGGCAAAACCTTCCAGAAATATATTTTAACAGGTCTTTTAAAATTAATTGCTGGGACACTGAAAGCAAATTTTTCACAATCCTCAGTATGCAACCTTATTGAAAAAAAAATCTTTTAGATCTATTACCATTAAGCTATAATTCAAAGAAATTGCTGTAGGAGAAGGAAGTCCAGGCTGCAATGATCCCATAGGCTGAATTGCATGGTTTGTTACCCTTAAATCGTGTAGTAACCTCCAATTACCTGAATTTTTCTTAATAACAAAAATGGGGGTGTTGATTCTATATGACTAGCCTGAATTTATTCCTCAACTAACATATGAATTATCTTAAGTTTTTCCCCTGAGATGGGCCACTGAGAAATCCATATAGGCTCTTCTGTGAGCCAGGTGATCTCTTCTGCTGTCTTTTGGATCAGGGAGACACTCAGGGCCCTCTAGTAAAAATTTTGGTTTGGAGTATTTACTATTCTCTGTAGAGGAGACTGGTTTGTAAGCAAATACTCTTCCTGATAATTTCCCTCATTATCTCCAGGAAGAAGCCCTTGATTAATTTCCTCAAATGATCTCATAGAATTTGAAGTTATTATTAATAATCCTATTTTGCTTAATATGTCTCTTCCCCATAGGTTTACTGGTAAGGACTCTAACACATAAGGTTTAAAAAGTACATTGTTCCCATCAGGATCCTCCCAACGGAGATAGTTAGCACTTTGAGCAGGCTGTGAGATTTGTCCAATTCCTTCTAAGTTAGCTGGTGCTATATGTAAGGGCCAATTCTTAGGCCAGAAGTGACTGGACAGGAGTGATTTATCCACTCCTGTGTCCACTACACCTTGGAACTTTATATGATTAATTTTAAGTTCCAGTAGGGGGTGCTCCTGTCACACTAATTGAGACCAATACACTCTGGCAGTTTGGAAACTGAATTTACTTGTGGGTGTCCATCCAAGTTACAGGGTAATACAATCAATTGGGCAATAGTATTTTTTGGAGTAAGCCAAATGGCATAATTTGATTTTACAGTAACACTTAATTCTCCTTCAAAACAAGAATCTACCACTCCAAGTATCACCTCCATGGCCTCTTTCAAATTGTTATATCCCAAAATTAACCCTATACTTTCTCTAGGGAGTGGTCTGAAAACCCCAGTAGGGATTTGTTGTGGCCCTACCTCAGGAACCAATTCAATTACTGACGCAGTCTTGGCTGGGCACAAGATCATGAGCCACTCACAGCTTTGTAGATTCAAACAGCAATTCTTTATTCCGGAACTCACACCGGCCTCTACCCATGTTCTGGGGAAATTCACGTCCCAAATACTTTCTGAATTCCACAAGAACTCAATGGGAACTCAGGCAGCAGGATACGCCCTATTCCCAGCAGGAATAATCTTAAACCTGGAACCGCCCTCTAAACCCAGATTGCCTTAAACCCAAATTGTCTTAAACCAGGATACTTCCTAAAACCTGCAGGATACACCCTAAACCTGGATCCACCCTGGTCCTTGAGCAGGGTCACCTTTCTCAAACACACATGCAATGTCAGCGAATTTCCAAGGCAAGTCCATTTAACATGGGGTACGCTGGCAAGGAAATTTTAATGTGTCATTCCTACTTGGCAATGGCCCTCAGCAAATTACTTGAGCAGGGTCACCTTTCTCAAACACACATGCAATGTCAGCGAATTTCCAAGGCAAGTCCATTTAACATGGGGTACGCTGGCAAGGAAATTTTAATGTGTCATTCCTACTTGGCAATGGCCCTCAGCAAATTACCATGGACGATTGTAAAGGAACTGCCTGTGAGGTCCTCTCTGGTAGAAATGGCAGCTCCCCATGGTCGGCTGTGATGATGTTAAACTGCATAACCTCTCTTCTGGTTCCCCTGTTTTTCCGGCCTGGGGATGGGCTGACCGGAAGTTTTTTGACTCCCTACTAGGCGGAAGTGA